AATGAGAATGAGAGAGAAGAGAAGAGGAGGAATTGATTCATCCAAAAGATTGAAAGACAAAAAGGGTGAAACAATCCTCAAAAGAGAGCCCAAGATCCTTGAATCAATCATAGACGACGGATATCAATTTCTCACATTTCATAAATGGATCAACCCAAGAAGCGTATCCTTTCCAAATGACAATTTCATGAATTTCCAAACCCTTCATGAATCCAATTTAAATTGACCTTATGTTTCATCCAAATGAAATTGTACAAGCCTAAGAATGAACATTAACCAATAGAAGAAATAACTCTCTAATCTTCCAAAATAATTTACTTCCATCCTTCATCAAAAGTGTACAATGAGATCTACATCCAACATTACAAAAAAGAAATCAAATATATGCTCTCGAGTAAGGCCCATAAAAGGGACAAAAATGATCGCAAAAGCCACCACCAAACAGCTTAGAGCAACTCACGGGTAAGGCGAGGAGGGAGGCAGCAAAAAGAAAAAAAACAAACAAGCATGAACCATGTCACAACACCAAAGAAATGCTGCAGGAAGGCTCACGGGTAAAGGGGAGCAAAGGGAAAGCCACCACAGCATAGGCCAATAAGAAAACCCCTAAAGGCAGCATAGATCCACGGGTAAGAGTCAGAAAGAACACCCCAAAGGTAGCAGCGCCAAGTAACTTTCAAGGCTAAAGCAGGAAAAAGAAACCACCATAAATACTACCATTGTATTGTATTTGACATACATAAGAGAGTGAATGGACAAACTATCTTAAACCACTAGGACCGAACCCACCTTCCTAACAATGCTCAAACTAAATATTCCCGCATAGAGATAGATATTGAAATTCATGACTTTTAGGATGACAAACTTGATTACTAATAACATATCTTAAGGGGAGCATTAAAGAGGAGGCCCCAAACAAGTCATGCTCAACAAAAGTGTTAAACTAAATCCAAGGAACAGTCCTAAGCGGTAAGAGATTTCAGCAATCATATATTACCAAAGAAGCTCAAACCGAGCTCACCAAAGGGGTAAACCAAGCTCAAAGAAAGTTCCAAAGATATAAAGGATTCCAGCCAACACAAAACACCAGAAAGGAGCCCAAAACGGCACAGCATAAGGTAAATCGAGCTTAGAAAATAGTTCAAACATATAAAGGATTTCAACCAACATAAAACACCAGAAAGGAGCCCAAACTGAGCCCAGCATAGCGCAAACCGAGTCCCAATCTAGGGAAAAACCAAGCCCAACATAGGAACAAAACGAGTTCAACTAGATGGGAGAACAAACAAAGAAAATATTTCCAGCATTTATGCATTTCAGAAGAACCAAAACCGAGCCCAAAGAAGGGGCAAACAGAGCCCAGCACAAGGGCAAACCAAACTCAGCAGAAAGGGCAAAACCGAGCCGAGGACCGGGAGGGCAAAACCAACCCAGCACAGGGCAAAACCAACCCAGCACAGGGCAAAACCCACCCAACACAGGGGAGAACTAAACCCAGTAGAGAGGCAAAACCGAGCCCAGCACAAGGGCAAAACTGAATCTCAGCAGATGGGTCACAACAATTTCCAGCATTTATTCATTCCAAAAGTTAAAAAAAAACGATCCCAAAAAGAATAGATAGAAAATATTTTTCAGCAAAAATCCAATCTCAAAGAGCCAAACCGAGATCACCAGATGGGCCAAAATAGGGAGCAGTTTCCAGCAAAAATCCAATCCCAAAAGAGCCAAACCTGAGCCCAACAAATGGGCCAAAACAGAGCTATCAAAATCAACTCTATTGAAATCTCATATTTCAAAATATTGCATTCAGAATATGTTCCAAGTAGTAGCAAGTAATAAGAAACATATAAGTGTGCATACATCCCTAAGGCCAACAAATTTTTCAACTCATAAAAAATATTTTTCAGCATGTATTCTAACAAGGGGCATCAAAAGAAGCAAGAAATGAGCCCCAAACATGATTTTCCAATTTATAAAAATAATTTCCAACATGTATTCTAACAAGGGGCAGCAAAAAGAGCAAGAAATGAGCCCCAAACATGATCTTCCAACTTATAAAAAAATAATTTCCAGCATGTATTCTAACAAGGGGCAGCAAGAAGAGCAAGAAATGAGCCCCAAACATGATCTTCCAACTTATAAAAAAATTAATTTCCAGCATGTATCAATACCTAGACTTCAAAATAAACTAAGCCATTCCTCCGTTAACCTTTGCAAGAGACTAGAAATGCCTCAACATGCCATCCTAGATAAAATAGAATAAGGAGAAGGAGAAGAATACCTCTTTAGTGTAGCAAAACACTAAAATAAATTGAAGAAAACTCCCCCACAGAAATCCTTCCTGAGAGCCCTACGCAAATAGCCCCCCACGGTTTCTAGCTCCCGGCTCGACAGACTCTAACCACAAGAGTATCGACCAATAGAGAGGAAGAAGAACTCCACTCGAACAATAAAGCAGAAGGAGGAAGCCTTCCCAACAGTGAAGAAGAAAGAAAGAAAGTGCTAAATTTCTCCAAAAGCCTTCCTCTCTCAAAGTCCTCTCTTTTCTCTTCTCTTTCAGACCCTCTTTTTTTCAAAAGAAAACAAAATTCTAGAAATATTTCAAGCACACACACAAGATGAACCAACCAGAAAAAAAATAGCAGCACCTCCCCTTCTCAGGAAATTTCAGCCAACCCTAGATCTTCCCCCGAATGGGGTTTTATAGACAAAAGAAGAGAAGAACAACCACCTGTTTGTCGCCCTAGCCAACGAATGGGGAAAAGGGAAAGAAACGGCGGAATAAAGGAGAGGAGCGGTTGTTGCCTTGAGTAGAAGGACCGTCGACCAACACGCCTCTTCTAATTGGGAGATGAGCCGCGAGCAAGAACGGCAAAGGAAAGCCGCGTGGATCCACCATGGAACTAGGGCACACGGACGAGAGCGGGACGAGCCGCGGGATCGAGCCCTGAGATGGTTCGAACGAGAGCTTAAGCATGAGGGTGAAAACTTAATGAGATTATAATTTAGGGGTAAAATCTATAAAAAGTATTTAATATTTTGAAAAATAAAAATTGAATTTGTGTTTTCTCCGTGCGTCGTAACATATCGAATATGGATGTCCTTCTAGGTATTTTTGGCGTTCCGGACACGCTGGCGCGGTCCGTTTAGCCTTCGGAGGTCATTTTGACGAATTCATCGATTTGCATGTAAATTTTCTCGTGTCAGAAATATGGCAATATGGGTGTTCTTTCCTACTAAAATTATTTGTGTCCCAGAAGCGTTGGCGTAGTCCATATTGTCATCGGAGGTCGTCTGGAGAAGTTCGCATTTTCACCCATCTTTAAGCTCAATTTAAGTCTGATCTTGTGCAACTTAACGAATTTTGTGCATTTGGTGTGTGTGTGACGATAAAGTCGTGAGGAAGTTTTCCTAGAGCTTGAGGTCCTATTGGGAACTTCTCCCTGAGTCTCTACACAATAGCTCTTAACCGCTCGTCCATAAGACGATGGTTTTGAGACCATAAATGCTAGACATCACAGGAAAATAGGAAGTATATGAAATTTCTAAAAAGGGTGAGTCTCAATTCTAGTTTTCTAAGATGGTCAATAGAAACTCTTAGAGCTAGATCTTAGGATCTTAAGAAAAAGAGTAATGACCTCAAAATGAGGTCAACAGTTATTCTATCATGACAGACTTTGGAAGGATGTAAGCATTTTAGAGTTGCCCGAAATGAATGTGACATGAATTTTACAATGTGACCGCCTCAAAAACAGCAAGACAATGCATTTGCTATGATGATAGTAGATCGAGTCCTGAAGCTTCCTGGAAGAAAGAAGAAGTTCCTCCCTAGGGAGAATGCTGTGAGATGCGACCGCAATGTGGAACGTCGAATCTCGCTGACTATCGCAAGTTTGGATGGTCGTGGGGATGTCGACTTCCAAATTAGTATTTTTCTGTCTTTCCTTTTTTTTTCTTTCCTATTCCTTTATTTTCTAATTAGGTTTCTAGTAGTCAACTATTGATATGTCGTTATTTTTCTATTTTCGTAGGCTTTTGATTTGGTTTATGTTATTTCGAGATGTTTTCTCTTGGTTATCTATTGAAGTATTGTATCATATTCCTATTGCAGGTGGTGTGCTAGTACCTTGCCTAAGAACAGGTGGTGAAAGCTCGTCGCCATCCTAACATCGTTGATTTGGAATTTTCTCTACTGATTCTAGTCAGGATAACCATCGATTGACGCCTATCTCAGCCCAAATGTCGTCAAACCATCATACTTCATTCCCCGCTATTCCACAACCACCTCCTGCAAAATCCGTTTCACAAATACTGTCTAGGAGCCATAGAACAGGATCGTTTTTAGTAAAGGTGATGGAATTGACTAACCAAAACAAACAAAAGGAACTTACCGCAAAACAAGCATCCCTACAACATGTTTCAATGTAATTAGTTTTGGAACCAAAATTTAAACACTTTCAAACACTTATAATAATAAAATAAACTAACCTTTAGAACATCGAGCATTAAGCTCGATGAGTTTTGTCCACCAATCATTTCACTATTATTATTCTTTTTCTTCATAAGATTGAAGAAATAATATCAATTTGGCAAACCATGCATGTAAAACAAATTAAATCTACCAAAGTGCAAGCATATAAAAAGTAAAAAGTAGAACTTTGAGCTTTCACATAATTAAGAAGGTTAGCAAAGCAAAGAATAGTATCAATTTGGCATTCCATCGGCATCAATTGTGCTGTCCCCCAAACACACGAATTTGCAACATACTAAGGTATCCCTAACTACCATTGCATCCCCAAACTATGCGTTCATAAGAAAAGAAATTCTAAAGTATGCCATGAAATGGTGAGAACATTTTTAAATTAATCTTCATAATATTTTCACTGATTCCTTGAACTTAACAAATAAAAGAAAGCCATAAACCTAAAAAAGGAGTTTAGTTCAAGATAAGAAGAAGAAAATTAGTTGGACCCATCCAATAAAAATTGAGAACACTTAACTAGTGCCTTCAAGCTTTCTGAACCACGAGCAATATCAACATAAAGATGTCTGCCCAATATGTTTACCAAAACCTTTACATATAAACAAAGCATTGTCATTGACCACAATGAAGCTGTCAATCTTGTAAAACCTGTATGAGCAGAAATAAGCATTAGAATTCTTCAAAAGATCCCAAAACAAAGCAGCCATGCAGTGATATTTATAATCCAACTTTTGAATAAATTTCAGCGTTTTCCAAAAAGGAACAGCATGACAATGTAAAATTAAATCAAATTAAATGAGAAAGGAGATAGAATATAAGCAAAACTGATGGCATACTTAAGATTTTAAGTCTTTCCCATAAGTTAGCCTTATCCTTCGGTGTAAGAGTACTAAACTCGCCCTTGGCTTGCCTGAGTTTCTCCGTCAAAGAAGAAATGTCCAAATCCGCAGCTATTCGAGATCTAAGGTAATGCAATGCATACGGCAGCGTTGTGCTATCCGAAATTCTCTGAATTTTCTCAAAATGGTTCTGCAACCTTCCCAGCAAATCCAAATTCGAGAAAGAGGAAACAAGAATATATTTTTATAATTAACAAATCCAAAGAAACTTAAGAAAAAAAACTAAATTAAAATAAATAGTATAAGGCTTTAAACAGAAAATTGAAAGAAGAGGAAGAAAGCATTACTGCGACTTAATGAGCTCGTCAACTTCCCGAGCTCCCTCCAACCGCCGCTCAAGCACAGTAACTCTTCTTCTGTGAGCATCATAAAACTTATATATCACATAACCACCTCCCAGTGCTCCAAGAGTAATAAATATCCTTCTCCTATGCCTATTCCAGAGACCTCTGCTTCAAAAGTTTACAGTTCCATAAAAAGATCAACGACCAATATCGAAATAAGATGAACGGATTGAAGCAGTTCCGTGTGAAAGGAAGGCGATCTCACCTCAAAGAGAGCATGGTTTTCTCTCTCAGAGATTAATGGAATCCATAATTAAACCTTCGCCAATTGCAGGAAACCTAAGCCGATTTAGAAATGGGGTTTCGAAAAAAGAGAAAAGCAGGCAGATACATTAGGGCAACATCATAAAATCCAAAGAACTTAAGAAAAGGGGCTTCATGAAGTTTATATTTATGCGGTAATTAGTTAAAACATTTACTAAATTGATAAAAATAATTATTATAAGCATTATATTCGTATTCTATGAAGATCTTTTTTTTATTTGTTTATTCTGTGTTGCACTAATTGACAAAGACTTTTTATTAGTTTAGTTGGATGTTTTTTTTTTTTCTCCATTAAGTCTTTTGACTTTGAGTTTTAAATTTAAAATTTAAATCATCATTATGATTCCTAATTGTTAATTTGAAGGAAATTTAAATACTCATCACATGAATCTTTTGAATTTGTATATCCAACACTTAAAAGTTCTATATACATATATATATATATATATATATTTCAAAAAATTAGTAATAATAATATTTTTAATTAATATTAAAATATTTGAGTGTTAGAAATTGTAAATATGAAAATTTATGCATTGTAAACTCTCCTTAGAAAATATATATCGGAACTATATTAAGATTGTGTTTCATGCAGTGGTGTGACAGTTTTTTCTCTTTGGCAAAATTATGTTTTATCTGCGTTCTAAATAAGTTGCTGCTAAAGTAGTGTTTTCCATTAGACCTGACTACTTGCGGTAACTGCTAGAAAATTGTGATCTCACTGCTTTAAATTTTTTTTTTGCAAGCCACCATAGCATTTTGAACAGCACCTTCACAACTTCTTCTACAAACAACCACAACTAATTCTCAAACAGCTACAACTGTCCTAAGCAAACCTTAAATTGCATATTGTTAGTAAAGTGTCATGAATTTTATTGTGATATAAATTTTATGAGTGACTCAAATTATAAAATCACAAATTAAATTTAATTATTAAAATATTTGCTGATATAAATTGGTAAATTGTTTGTTTTTATTGGAAGATTAATTCCAAGTACTATATTTCTTCTAATTTCCTTAAATTTAAAATTAAGTGCTCGTTTGGAGTAGCTTTTCAGTTGCAGTACATTTTAAAAATGCATTTGAGGGCATTTGGTTGTTGTGGCACGTTGGCAGTTTGAAAAATTTAGTAATGAAACGCGACTGCAGGTATCACCTCGTGACACACATTTGTTTGTTATTTTTATCAATGTTGCCCTGACGAACTCCACGAGTGCCACACTCTCTCTTGCGGCTCTTGCCCTAACTCTTCTCTCTCGCTTCTCTGGACTCGCTACGGTGAGTTGACCTAATCCTTCTCTCTCCCTCTCTCTAGCTGCGGTGAGATGCCTCCTCTCTATGTTCTTTGGGTTATTCTAAATCATTAACGCCCTCTGTGCGATGGTTTTTGTTTATGCAACGGTTTTTGGAGTTTTGGTTTGGCACTCTCTATCTTGCGTTATTTCATATATTTACTATGTTGTGGTTTTTATGTTTGATTTTTGAATTGCGTATGAGTTGGTGGATTGAGATTGAGGTTAAAATTTTTGGATTTTAGTTATGTTCTGTTTGGAATTTCATGTATTTGATTGTGAGTATGGGTTGAGGTTGGAAATGTGCATGTGTTGGAAATAATTTTTGGATTTTTGGATTATTGAATTCTTCATATTGGGTAGTTTTAGGGGTTTTGGTTTGGCTCTGCCTATCCCTATATTCTGAACAAAATAGTATGATTTTAGAATGATTTTTTGGATTTTGGTTGAGGTTAGAAATGCGTATGTTTTGGTTGAGGCTGGAAAAGGTATGTGCTAGCTCTGCTTATCTTGCGGTATTCCCTATCTTGAGATTGGAAATGCGTATGAGGTTGAAATATGTTAGTGTAATTTGGATTTAGACATTCTTTGCAAAGAGAGGCTGACAATCTGTGGGCTTTTCATTGCACATAACCTATATTGTGCACTGTCGTTCTTCATTGTCTGATATTTACATACCTAACAACCTTTTCATTTTGTAATTTTTTTGCTCTGTTTAGTTGATATTCTATTTTAATGTGAATACTTCACTTGGGTTGATGTGTTGATTGCACGTGTAATTATTTAGAAATATAAATGGGCTATTCTTAGTGGATGTGTTTGTGTGTGTATGTGGAAGTTGTGGAAGTTATGGAGGGGTAGTGGTGATGTATTGGTGGTGTAGAGGTGTGTGGTTATGTTTGTGTTGGTGGATGTGTGGAGGTTGTGGTAGTAATGTTAAGGAGGGGTGATGTGGGCGGTTTTGTGGTGTGCGTTGTAAATATCTTTCAATATTATAATACACACACAACATCACTAATAGTAAATATGCAATTCAATCCCAATAAAAATCAGTTCAGTATAAATAATTTTATCTTTTATAACATCTAAGCTGCCAAATTTGTAATAATAAGGCAAATATACGTATCGCTCAAGTAATAAAGGGCTCTAATGGAGTCATAAGTATTGATCCCACAGGGAGTTGAAAATTCTTATGGTTATAACGTCAAACACAATATTCAAACTATAAAACTTAAGTAAGAAAAATAAATCTAAAGTAAATTTAATGTACGCTAAATGAAATGCAGTTAAAAGTTATTAAACTTCAAAAGTAAACTTATAAAGAATAAATAAAGTTTTGAAATGAAGAGTTCAAATTTAAGAAAACATCCTTTCCCTTTACAATGAGTTTATGGAGTGTGAAGAAATTAAAATCATTTAAAATACAAATAAAATTGTATTGCGTCAAAATAGGAGCAATCTTATTCTTTACCCTATGAGAGTGCATAAAGAACATTGACTAGTCCAGAGTTTGATCCCTAAATCCATAGTTAGATTGAGAGGATACTGGCTGCTACTCCAGAGCTCTCACTTCTCCCTCGACTGAGGGCTAACAATCTAGCTTTAGTTTCAAAGCAATTTGACCAAATTGTGGATTTTAATCTGTCACCTTAAAATCTCTAATTCTTGGCCCATAAAATATATTTCCTTATTTATTTGCGCGCAACCCCATGGATTACATTCTCCCCCATGAAATTGAATGTGACTCTTACCCCATTGTAGAAAGCATAGCCCTTTCAGATTGTATATTTCTCAACAAATTTTAACCTTTCAATTGATCAGATCAAAAAGTAAATGAAGATCAGAGTTTGAATCATCCCAATTTATTGACACTTAAAACCTTACAAAACAAAACTAATTCTTCACAAAATCATATCTCTCAGAATTCATGAGAATGATACGACAAAACATGAATTTCATATATAAAAATAAGTTTACAAAACAAAGAAAGAAAAGAACACAACTTATCTCACACTCCTTCCCAAGCAAATTCCTAGAAGTTCCCTTTAAGCACTTTCTTTCTTTACAATCACACTCAATTCTCTCTTAGAAGTATAATGAAGAAGAAATCTATCACCTTCCCTCTCCTCTTACAACCCTAGAAGAAAATTATCTCTTCTCCAAAACTTCTCTCTCAAACTCCTCTCTTTTTAATTAAGGTCAGCCTTCTTTCTAAAGGAATTCAAAATTCTCTCTAATTTTTCCCCCAAACGTCATATCTTTTAACACAAAGAGACAAGTCCCTTCATCCAAGAGACATATCTCTTCATTAAAGAACCTTTCCAAAGAGTCTAGATGCATTGAACCACTCCATTGGATGTTTGAATTATTTGAAGCCTTAAAAAATCGCTAAAAAATAGTCACGAACCACCTTACTCGGTCTTAAATCGTCTCTGACACTTCTAGCGCCAGCCTAATGAAGTCCACACTATTTTCAGGATTTTGGCGCCTCTGGCACCAATTTTAGCACTTCTAGCACTGGTTCTTTGTAAAATGGTGCATCTGGCACCAGTTTTTGGAGCTTCTGATGCTAGCACTCTAAAAAATGGCGCTTTTGGTGCCTGGATCATGAAAATCTTCATTTTGGCTCCAAATTTCCTCCTTTTTGCTATTTTTTGCTCCAAATGCCTAAAATTGATATACCTGCAACAAAAATATGAAAATATCATTTTTTTAAAATGCAATACCACCAAACTAAGCATAAATGTATACATAAAATAATACATTATTTTGGTGTATCAAAATCACCCAAACTTAAATGTTACTTGCCCTCAAGTGACCCTTTTACTATATAAAAATATGACTTATGACAGAGATTAAATTATAAACTTCTATAGTTTGTTTTAATAAATATAATAGCATAACATAAGAAAAACTTTTAACAATTTAAGTTAAAACTACAAGTATAAGAACTCCTAGTATTCATGTCTAAGAGTTTTGAATCTCCATTCATTTCGAGAAAAATTGTACTTTGTCATATCAAAGATACTTAGAATATCCATATGAAAATAATTTTCATGAAAAATTTATTAATAAGGATGCTAATTTTCAGATACAAATTTAAAAAATGTAATAAAGCTTTTTTCCTCAAGTTGATTCAAGTGAAGCCAATTTTTGATTAGACATCTCCTCAAATTTCTCCTCACATATTTTTCTTTTCTTTTTTTTTCATTTCTTTTATTTAGGATCATTTTCAATCCTTCTTTTCTTTTTTTTTTTCTCATTTTATGTGAGGATTACTATATTTGGATAACCTTTAATAATTTTGACTTCACTATCCTCTTCTTAAGGTCAATACTTCTTATCTTCCTTCACTTTATAAATTCATTTTAGCTTTGAAGTTTTTTCATAAAGTTTCATTCTTTTCTTCTTACATAAAACTCTAAAATTCTTAATACTTCAAAATTACAATATTCTTTACTTTAAATAGAAAAACATAGTCTTATTCTTTCATACTAAATATCTTAACTCTAGAATTGAGCTTCATTATTAAAGATTTTTTCTTAAATTTACCATAATATTTACAAACAAACATATAGTTATTTTAAGTTAAACTCTAATATCCATGGTCATGTTAAATTAATTTTAAAAGTATAGTTAATTGAGGACAAATAAAATTTAGTTCACCTTTTTTTTCTTTTTTTTAAAGAAATTTTTCTTCCCCCCAAATTAAAAATTTTTAAATAATAAGTAAAGCATGTAGTATAAAAAATTTGTAGGTGAAAAAAAAACAGTAAATGCTTAAAAAAAA